CAAAGCTGAAAGCTGTTTGGCTCCAGGCACTGCGCTGTCATCTACGCCACTAAGCTGCCGAGATCCCCTGCAGAAAATAGAAATATCTATGTTCAGTATTTTGAAAGCATAACAATAAGTGAATTCGGTCTCTGGAATCAGCCCCTGCTAATTCAAAAGTTCTGATTGGCAGGTAGGTTCTTAATTACTTGTGATGGGGAAAGAATTCATTATTGCTTTCACAATGATCTCTCCGGGGCCTGCTCTCTGTAGTAGCTGCACTGATTGACACGCGCTTCATAAATAAAATCTTTCAAAATCTAGGATCTACAAATGGGTGGGTTAGCAGAAAAAAATAATAAAAGGGGGGGGGGGAAATTGGTGGGAAATTTTTATCTTGCCCTATCCCACAGGTCACAAAGGAGGAAAGGAGTAGCTCAAGGAACAACAAGAGTGACGGCCAAGGCCAGGGCAGACCCCTGGATCTCCAGCCTCCTTAGCCCCATGCTTTTTTTCTCCACCCAAGGCTATGGCCAGAGTTCTGGCTTTGTGGCCAACTGGGCCAGGGGTTGGAGGTCAAGCACTCAGGCGGACAGGCACACAGTGTCAGTGGGGACAGGCAGCTGAGCCCGGTCCAGCCAGGGCCATCACCAAGGGTTCAGACTGGCTATTTGTGCTTTAACTGGGAGGAAATAGGCTATAGGGAGAGCATCGCCCTGGAAGACAGCTTTGGCCAGTTTCTGAGCTCCTCGGTGATACCAGGAGGAAAACAAAGAAACTGACGCCCAGGGCTTTCTATCCAGCCTCTCATTTTTCCTGCTGCCCTGGATACCCAAAATTAATACTTATGTCTGACCACATAGCTAATTTTATGTCCAGCCAACTGGCTTCCTCAGGTGGATTCTAAGTCTTCAGCCAGGTTTCAGTGCTGTCTCTTTGCCTAGCTGCTCCTAAGCAGGGACTGCTGGGCCCCTGTTGAACGAACAAGTCAATCTTGGTCACGCTGCACCAGAGGGCAGAGGACAGAGTGTTGTGTTGGGAACTGAGTATCCTGGCTTATGGTCTTGGCTCTGCCATTCGCCTGCTGTGTGACCTGGAACTGCTCACTTTCCTTCTCTGGGCCTCTCTTTCCTCCTCTGTACAACATAAAGACTGGGTCATTCGATCAGCTTTTCTGATCTCTGAGAACGGCTTTTCTGGCTCTGAGAACCTGTAAGTCTGGTGGATTCGGGAAGAGTGGCTGGGAGAGGAGGGGGTGGTGACAGCCCCGTCAGTGCTCTGAGTCTCATGATCGGGACATGAGTTCTGGCTGGTCAGCCCATCAGGTCCTGTGAGGGAGGGTCCTCAGGGAACCTGCCGCAGAGCACAGCTTCTGTGTGTCCGTGACACACAAGGACAGATGGACCCGCTCGCCAGAGACTCCCAGAGCTGGACAGCAAGGAGACGATGGGGGCTCTCCTTTGCCCCGTCTCTCATAAACCCACGCCTGATGTGGGCAAGGACCAGGCCAGCAGCGGGCCTGCTGGCAGACAGACAGGCCTTGCCAAACTCCCCATTACTTCCCAGAAGTCCCGGGGCCCCCCGGGAGTGGCTCCATCCCAGCTGGCACTGCTTGCCCCAGGGCGCCCACGTCAGCAGGTCCTCACAGCTCCCTTGCCCTTTTACCCCACGACAGGGGAACAGACGAAGGGACGGGGGTATGCGGACCCTGGGCCAGGTACTCCGAGAAGCCTCTGGCTCCCCGGGCATCACGCTCCAGTAGCCACCGTGCCGCATCTGGCTCGGGGCAGTGCCAGAGGATGCACTTCCCAGAGGAACACTCTCCTCTCGGGGCCTCAGTTTCCCATCCCAGTCACCCTTCCTGGGTAATGAATTGGCTCTGAGGCATCGGAATGAGCGATGAGTCAGAAAGTCCTAGAGGCCTTGGCCAACCCGCAAGGTCTCTCCGGCCCTTTTCAGCTATAAAACAGAGATCGTCAGAATAATGGCCTTGTGGAAGTTTTTCAGGATTAAGGTTTAAAATGTATCTGAAGGATAAGACCTCAAGCCTCGGCCTGTGGCGGGGACGGCGAGCCCCAGGGGGGTGGGGTATCTGACCCGAAGGAAAAGGCACATCCAGGCTGGGGACACCCTAGACAGGACAGTGGGGCACGCGGCTCTGGCTGGAGAAGAGGCATCGGGTAAACCTGGATGTGCCATTGAGTGAGCATCAACAGGCGCAGGCAGGGAACGGAGTCAGCACTCGCCGCTAGGAGCTGGGGAAAGCACAGGCACACTCAGGATCGGAGCCAGCAGAGACAGGGCGGACGCGCACAGGCCCAGGGGAAGAAGGTGGCCACACGTCTGCTGGCACGTAGGCTGTCCTGAGACCAGCGAGGGCCCCTCTGCAGCTGGGGGACTTCGCGGGCAGCTACAGTGAGGCCAGGCCTGTGGACACTGAGCTCTCCTGACATGGGAAAAGTGAGCACAGGGCAGGGGGGAGGTGGCAGTGAGAGAGGGTCCTTCTCCCCTGCCCAAGCAGGTGGCCCCACCCCAGACCACACCCTCAGGCAGCCTTCGCCCTGTGAGATCCCCTCCCCCCTGCTTCACCACCAACCCCAACGATTCTAAAGCACTCACATGTCTAGCTTACATGTTTCGTAGGGCAACCAGGCTGGGTATTAATAGCTGTGGCTCAACCCCCCCCCCCCCCCCCCCCCAGAGTGCACACAGGGCAAAAGAGGTCCAGAGAGGGGAATGGATTTGCCCGAGGTCACACAGCCAGCGCATGGTCAAGCTGGGGCTGGGCCCATGCTACCCAACCCCTGTCCAGCCCCATCCACGATGCCATGCCCTCCCCCATGCCCAGTGCGGTGCGGGCCTGGGGGACAGGGAAGGACAGGATAAGGAGCCGTTCTGGCCCAGGGCCCGCCCAGCTGTCGAGGTGAGCTGTGGTCTGGCCGCTGCGGCTGGGCTGGCGGGCACAATCTGTTCTCACCCTTCTGGGACGCAGACAGGCCAGGCATGGCAGCTCACCAGCTCACCGGCCCCTGGCACAGAGTGACACAGTCACGCAGCTAGGTGTCCCGATGGGGGGGGGGGGGAGGTAGGGGAGCCCATTCTACGGGCAGCCCACAACCTCGCACACTCCAAGAGACCGTCCCCAGATCTCCCTGAGCTTTGAGGTTCAAGCGGCCTTGGGCTGCTGGAGATGCCAGCTTTACTGGAACTGAGCTGCCCCCCAGGCGGGAAACGTGAGGGAAATCTGGCACTTCACTCATTACTAATCATAGTGAGCCATTATTGAACACTTGATATGTACCAGACTCTAGGTTAAGTGCATTATGCACATTATCTCATTTATTTCTCCCGAAAAGCCCTAGGAAGCAGGTTCTACTTATTAGCCCCATTTTACACATGTGGAAACCAAGGCTCACAGAGGTTTAAAAGATGAAAAAAAAAAAAAAAAAAGAGGACAGTCCTTGAAAGAGTCAGGATTTGAATCCAGACCAGACACCAAAGCACATGGTACCCTACCTTGCCATGCACATATTCTGGGCATACGCCACGGGCACGGCAGGCAATGTGGAGGGAGACGCTTAAGAGAAACAGGACAAGGTCGAGCCAGTGCCCACCCTACCACCCCAAGCCTGTATTCAGCTGTACATATGGGGGGATAGAGCAGGGGTGGTGTAATACCGGCCCTGGAGTTCAAAGATGAACATTCTCAGTGCCGCTCAAAACACAGGAGATCACTCTCAGGGAGGAATCCAGGACAGCTGCATGGAAGAAGCAGCATTGGGTTACATTTCGATAAGGCTTAGAAAGGAGGAACAACGGGAAATCCTGCCAGCCAGCATTATTTTATTATAACAATCCTATGAATAAAAGTAATAAATCTTAACAGTCTAGTGAAAAAAAGCAGGGCCAGGGCCAGCAGACTCAGTTTACAAATGAGGAAAACAGGCTCGGAGAGGGGGTGTAGTTTGCCTAAGGTCACACAGCCACTAGTGACAGGGCCAGAACTAGTGCCCAGGGCTTCTGACTTCCCATCCAGGGCCCCTTCCCCTCCGGGTCTCCAGGCACAGCGCCTGACGCAGGGCCGTCTGATGGTTGGCTCAGAGGGAAGCTCTGCCTGGCTCCTGGCTCTGTGAGGGCTGGGCATTGGAGGCAGGAGATGGGGTTGGGTTTGTCTGGCTGGTGATAGTAACATCTGGAAGTATAGGCAGAGGCCCTGCTTTAACGAGGGCAATGCCACCTCCCCATGAGGACAGACCCCACTTTGGGCGCAGAGGATGGTCCTGGGGCAGCAGACTGCAGGCTGATGAAGACCCTGGAGCACCAGGGCATCCAGCTGGCAGAGAGGCACTATCCCCTTGCCCCCTGACACTAGCAGGCCAGCTGCCTCAGGGACACTGGATGGCCCCAGTTGCCATCTACCTGTCATAAGCTTTGGCTGGCAGCATCCATGCCTCGGCTTCCCTCCCTCCACACTGAATCACAGGCTATCCAATCTCCACCCCTTACAGTCAAGAAAACTGAGGCCCAGAGAGGACAAGGAACAGATCCAAAACCCACAAACACTGAACTAGACACCAGCTCTCCCAAATGACCTGCCAGGCCCCCTTCACACTATCTCTGCTGCCTCTGGACCATAGCTCCCACAGCACCATGAATCAGCTCCTTCTTTAGGTTTAGAAACCAGTTAGGTCTTTGAAGGCAAACAGACTCTAGTTCAAACGCAAGGTTGCTCTACTTCCAAACGGTGTGACCTTGGAAAAGGCACTTGATATTCCCCGTTTCCTCCTTCCTTCCTCCCTACCCTATGAGGCTAACCAGGTGCATCAGCAAGGAACTGGCACCATGTGCGGGGTCGAGGATGTGCCCCTAATCATGGGCTGTCTTCTCTTCGGCGGGAAGGAGAGGCCTGTCTCTGCGAGGCTGGGGAGGTGGAGGGCAGAGACCTCAGGGAAGGGGCAGGGTTTCTGGAAGGGCGGCCCCACAGCGCGTGCTTTCTCTCCTCTTCCCCGGCTTTCCCCCAGGCTACGGCCACGCAGCACCCAGCACGGATGGCGGCAAGGTGTTCTGCATGTTCTACGCGCTGCTGGGCATCCCGCTCACGCTCGTCATGTTCCAGAGCCTGGGCGAGCGCATCAACACCTTTGTGAAGTACCTGCTGCACCGCGCCAAGAGGGGGCTGGGCATGCGGCGCGCCGACGTGTCCATGGCCAACATGGTGCTCATCGGCTTCTTCTCGTGCATCAGCACGCTGTGCATCGGCGCCGCCGCCTTCTCCTACTACGAGCACTGGACCTTCTTCCAGGCTTACTACTACTGCTTCATCACGCTCACCACCATCGGCTTCGGCGACTACGTGGCGCTGCAGAAGGACCAGGCGCTGCAGACGCAGCCGCAGTACGTGGCCTTCAGCTTCGTGTACATCCTCACGGGCCTCACGGTCATCGGCGCCTTCCTCAACCTCGTGGTGCTGCGCTTCATGACCATGAACGCCGAGGACGAGAAGCGCGACGCCGAGCACCGCGCGCTGCTCACGCGCAACGGGCAGGCGGGCGGGGGCGGCGGGGGCGGCGGCGGGGGCGCGGGCGGAGGCGGCGCGGGCGGCAGCGCGCACACCACGGACACCGCCTCGTCCACGGCGGCGGCGGGCGGCGGCGGCTTCCGCAACGTCTACGCCGAGGTGCTGCACTTCCAGTCCATGTGCTCGTGCCTCTGGTACAAGAGCCGCGAGAAGCTGCAGTACTCCATCCCCATGATCATCCCGCGGGACCTCTCCACGTCCGACACGTGCGTCGAGCAGAGCCACTCGTCGCCGGGAGGGGGCGGCCGCTACAGCGACACGCCTTCGCACCGCTGCCTGTGCAGCGGGGCCCAGCGCTCCGCCATCAGCTCGGTGTCCACGGGCCTGCACAGCCTGTCCACTTTCCGCGGCCTCATGAAGCGCAGGAGCTCCGTGTGACCGCCGCTGCAGGGCCCGGAGCGCCTGGGGGTGCGGGGCGCCGAGGGAGGGAGGGGCTCCTGCCGGGAGGAGCAGCAGGGGTCCGTGCGGAGGCCCCATGGGACCCTCCCCACACCCCTCCCCACCCTCTACCCGCCCCCACCCCCATCTCCCGACTGTGCCTGCTCGCACCAGCCGGCAGGAGCCCGGGCTCTGAGGATGTTTCAGGACATCCGCGCCCTGCAAATTCCGAGAAATGTGAAATGTGGGGGGTGGGGGTGGGGGAGGGAAGGCAGAAGCTGGGAGCCTCCCATCCCTCTGGAAATCTAAGGAGCTCCCCCGTTCTCAGAGGCCCTGCTGGTACCCAGACCACCCCCCACTCCCCCCTCCCCCATCCGGAGGGAACTTCGTGTTCTGTGTAAGTTTGCATCTCTATTTATACCTCTGTCCTGGCAGGTCTCCCACCTTCCCGAGGCTCCAAAAGCCAGGGTGTCTTTGTTCAGGTCACCCCCCACTCAGCCCCACTCCCCTTCCTCATCCCCAGCTGTGTCTCCCAGCCCCCCACTACCTTTGTGTTGTTTTGCATGGCTTTGCAGTTATGAAGAGAGTGGAAACCCAGCAGTCCCTAAAGCTAGTCCCCAGAAGGCAGGCCGCGCAGAGCAAGGACAGGCAGGCTGCAGGAGGGACAGAGGAGGGAGGGGGAGAGAGTGGCCCTCTAGTCTACAGGGCAGCCTACCGCTAGATGAGGCTTAACTGGCCTCCAGCCTCAGACGCTGCCCTTAGAATCAAACAGAGAACTTCATACTTGCCATCCCCAGCCGCTGTTGACAATGACCTACTCTTAAATCTGTGGAGTGAGTTTCAGCCTCTGAGACCTGCCCTGGCTCCCCATTCAGTTCACTCTCACAGTAGCCAGTAGGGCAGCAAGGCAGGGCTGAAGCTCACGACAAAAAAGGCAGGAAGGAGCCAGGGCTCCAGGGGGTTGGGAGTTGGGCAGAATGAGCTGGAGAACCGTCGGGCATATCCAAGTGGGACATTATCCCTGGCTGTACAGCCGGCGTTGGTGCCTGTGTCCCAAGTAGCCCACCACCGACCCCACCTGCAACCCAGAAACCCAGGTGCAGAGCAAGCAGATGGAGGTGATACCCTAGGCTCCATCACTGGGCCCCACAGCTGGAGGTGGTGCCTTGTCTCTGGACAGCATTGGGGTGGGTGAGGGGCATCCCCCCACTCGGAACTGCCCTCCCATGCTGTTGCCATGGCAGCTCCCTACCACTGCTGAGCAAGACCAGCCCTGGGATTCAGGGATGATGAGGGGACGGGGTCCCAAAGGGCGGCAAGCCTCGGCCGCTCCCCAGCCACGTGCCCCGGCCTCGGGGAACCCCTGAGAGAAGTCCGACCTGTGTGTCAATCCCATCTCAGCGTGGAGGAGCTGGCTGCCCAGGTGCCAAGAAGGGGGCCCAGAACCCAGGGGTGACCGGTGTGTTTATGTGTGGGGGTGGGGGACAGTGCTGGCTGCCTCTGTCCTACGTGTGACCCTGCCCTCGAGGGGTCCTGTCCCGTCAGTCCCGAGGGAGCCACAACCAAAGTTGCAGGGAGATGGTGAGGAAGGAGGCCAAATGGTCTTGAGCAGAGCATGGCTGACTCCTTGGTCTCCAAGCTGGGTCTTGCCCAGGGATCTAGAAGGCCAGCGTTGCTTCCCCCCTCCCCCCCTCCCCACTACAGGCAGCCTTTCTGCTTCCCCAATGCCTTATGCCTGGGCACACTGCCACAGAATATGCAATACACGTGGGTGCCCCCACGCCCACACCCCCACCCCGGGCAGCCCCTGGACCCCAAAGGCTGCGGCTGCCATGCCCTCCCTTTAGCCCCTCCTGCCTATCTGTCTTCACAATGAGAATGGCGCCTAATAAATGCTGTCCATGGAGACCAAGCTCAGGCTCAGCTGCCTCTGTATCGTATCCCCTTGGCACTGCCAAGGAACAGCCATTTCCCCGCCGAGGTCTACAGACACATCTAGCTGACACACCACAAGCTGACTACACTCTTTGTTTCCGGGGTCTTAGGAAGAAGCCCCAGGGGCAACACTGGAGGGGTCCCTTTTGTGTTTTCCTCCAAGATCCAGATGGTCTCATTGTCATCCTGGAATGACCAGGAGAGCAAGATAAGACTTTAGAAGAGAAACCACCTGGTCCAGTCGTTCCCTCATACATGAAGACGAGGAAGCCCAGAGTAGACAAGTCACTTGCCCTGAGTCACACAGCAGCGAGTGGCAGACCCAGGGTTAGAACCAGAACTGAGAATACTGAGTCCTGTTCCCCCCTCCTCACACAGCCTACACAGTTCAGCCAGACACACCGCAGCTGACAGTGACACCTGCCTATCTGCCAGAGTGGGGATTCCCTTCACCAGTGGGGACCCTGGCCTCAGTGGTCTGATTGACACAAAAATGTCTTTGTCGGAAAGAGATACATCACAGGCGCCTGTCTTCGGGGTATATTTCTCTCCGGGTGTGGAGGGGGCAACTCGTCCTGGGACGGGGTCCCAGATCCCAGAACAGACCCAGGGAGCAGAGGCACACTCCTGGCTGGTGCCAGAGGCTTCCACACATCACTGAGTACGGCCTACAGTAACCTCGTCCACCACAACCCCATTTCTATCTATCTGCATGCCTCGCTGCCTACCTATTTCCCTTTCATGAGATAATACTTAACCCCTACTATTGCCAATGCATTCTAATACTTCCTATCCTAGTTCGTGTTATAAAATGCTGGTCACAACCCACTAGATTGGTTTCTCTGTCCGCTAATGGTTTGCTCCCGGCAGGTTGAAATGCTCCAGGGAAATAAAGGCAGGTGGGGGGGGGGGCGGGAGGGAGGTGATAGGGGCATCTTCTCCAAGTCCCCCCATCTACTCACTTGGGTCACTTGAAATATATAGGGAGAGACCTATTTACTGGGGGCTCAGAGCTCAAGGAAAGAGGTGGTGACCCCCGCGCCCTCTCCCAGGAGGCAAGACACAGCCAGTTTTCATTAGGTGCTCCTGGAAGCTCCTCACAGCTGCCGGCGGGCTCCTGGGACCCGCTCCTCACCGGCCCACGGTTCTGAGGGTGGCCGAGGCAGAACTGGACCCTAGCTCCTGCTGGCTCACCCGTACCTGAGACCACCTCGTCAAAACCCAGGGCTTCCTGCCCACGGCCCAACTGTCTCTGTCTCTCTTAGCAAAGCTAAATGCCATGACAGAAATGATGTCATTTCTGAGGTCAGCAGTGACCCCTACAAGGTTGCTTTTACTTTCTTAAGCAGGTCTTGCAGGACGCAAACATGCTGACGCCTTCTCTCCTGTCTTCCTCGCCTGGGGCAGAATAATCAGAACTCGAAGGACTCCCCAGGGGGCTGCGTTCGCCCCAGTCTTTCGAGGTGCACCCCAGCCCCTGTCCCCGCTCCCAAGGGCTCAGCTTCTTTGGGGGAACTAGCGTGGGCCCTCTATTGCCACAGGATGCCGTCCACACCCTCCTCTCTTCCACGCAGCATCTGAGGCCTCCTGCACTAAAAAATATATGCACAGCAAAACAAAAATAGAAAACCAGCACCGCAGAGTGGATGTGGGGTATAAATATACCAAGATCTCCGCTGATGCGGTTACTCCGTGTAAGCTTCAGATAGAGACAGAATCTTCCTGGGAGCCCAGAGAGAAAGAGGCACGCCGTGACAACACTTCCCCAAATGTGTCCCGCGGCGTGCCTTGTGGGAAAAGGGTTCCGTGGGCAAGTGGATCTGAGGAAATGCTGCACACATCTCACTCACTCATGGAGCTTCCCGAACCATCGAGGCTCAGTAGAGGTTAGGAAAAGCCCTGCGGCAAACATAGCTGTCTACCTGCGCTTAACCCCATACCGCCCACACTTGGTTCACAGCACCGGACTCTCTGTGTGACATCTCCACACCCCCTGTGTTCCACGGAGCACACCTAGGGACGTGCACACCTAGTGAAATCTCTGCCTCCTAAAGAGAGAGGCTGGTCCTTCCTCCTCAATGAATCCTAAGAGGAGTTAGCTTGTAAGCCCTTCTAGAACGGAAGGCCATGACGTTTGCAAAATACAGATGTCATTGCCAATCGTGCGTCTGCTGAAAACCAAGGCTCGGAGCAGCTCACCTGCCAAGATCGAGCAGTGGATCAGGGGCAGAGCAGGGATCCGAGCCCAGGCCCAACAGCCCCCAAGCATGTGCTCTCACCCTCTCACTGCGCCCTTTCCCGCAGGGTGGTCCGCGGCTTCGGTTAGGGCTTGGTGGAAGTCACAGAGCTGTTCAGGACAGCTTTCTAATTCAGAACCTTGGGGAGAGGGGATACTATAAACCTAAAAATGTCACTCTCCAAAGATGGCGGATCCCAATGGAGCTCAGAGGTCCTATCCTACCTGAGGTCCACTGAACTCCCACTAAAGACCACTTAGCTCTTTTTACAGGTTCACCATTGCCCGGTCTGCCAAGCCCATCAGCATATCCACAACTTATCTCGGGAAGCCAGGACTGGGGGAAGCCTTCTGTAGGACAGGCATACTGTCAGAGGAAAGACAATTGCCCATGTTGGCCATGCCAGCCTCCCCAGCCAGGGCACACCTTGCCATCTCCACTGAGAAGCATAAAGCAGGGGCCCCCTCTCACTCCCAGAGCTGGGTTCAGGTTTGAAGGCTGAAAGACTCCATTTCCCAAGGGACCCTCCCCCAAACAAACAGTGGGCAATGGACACAGTCTGCTCCTCTTGCCCAGGTGTCAGTGATGCGGGAACAACAGCCTTAGGCACTGCCACCACCTTTGGAAGATTGCAAAGAAACGCACACACCCTCCCACACACTCCCGTAGATCCCCAGCCCGGCTCCTCTTTTTCAGAGGAGGAGATTTTGGCTCACAGAGAGGAAGTGAGATGCTCAAGGTCGCGAAGCAAGATAATGACGTCGCCAGGATTAGTATCCAAATGGGCTCACTTTCCTGTCCCCTCCTCACGCACACAGAGTAAGGACCCAGATGAAAGCTGCTAATCTCTGAGGTTGAGTCATTCTGATGCTGGAAATTTCCCACATGTACATCTGGACAAACACCAGGACACCCTTGCCCCTTCGTCCCCCAGCTGCAGGAGAGGACTTTGTGGTGCCCACCCCTCAGGCCAGGGGCTGTGATGGACCTGACCTCAGTGATCTCCTCTGGCCATGAACTCCCAGGAATTCACATTACAGCATTTTCCACTTACAAAGCTCTCCCACTTTGTTCTCTCCTCCGATCATTGGGAAACTCTGTGATTTAGGTGAGGATTAGCATCCTCATTTTACAGATGTCAGAACTAAAGCTCAGGAAGACCCAAGGTCCTGAAAGCTAGGGCTGTTTCACATTGACCTCTGTATCTGACAGCCAAGCTGACCACTGGGACGTTTCCTTGGCAGCAGGGTGCACATAGATGCCATGCTGTTCTGTGGGGGGGGGGGGGGGGCAGTCCCCAGGGACACATGGTTCACAGAATCCATTAGCACAAGGAGACAAGGGGTCGTGAACACTTTACCCACTTCACCATGTGTCGTGGGCAGACGCTGCCCAGAGCCCTAGACTTTGGACCAAGGGAAGCAGAAGGTCCAGCCTACAACCCCTGCCCTTCGGATGAAAGAGCCAAAGGTTCCTGGGGAAAAGGTCATGACTTTGACCTAGACCAAATCCCGAAAACAACACTCTTCCACAGTTCTGGTTCCCTAAAGAGGGAGCATGTAACCAGCTCATCCTCCGCTATAGAGTATTCTGGTCTGACAACCGGATCAGAGTGGCAGGAAGAAGGCCACATCCCTGTGCCTGCTTTGGAGTCATCCTCGGGGTTAGAGAGGCACTATCCTTCTGGCAGGCACGGGTCCAACTGGGGAGACCGCAGGCGCTGCGGGGGCGGGGAGCCTGACCTGGGCCTTCCTATGCTCTGTCCTCACCTCCGTGGTAAAAACTCTCTGTCTGCCTCGTCCAGGGCAGGAAAAGCTGTGAGGATACTTTTGGCCACCGAGGGTACGGTACAGCTGGCGTCCTTACGTAAAGGGGGCCCCAGAGAATTAAGGGTCCATTCATCCTTGAGTCTCTACCATGTGCCACAGACTTTACAGATCTTACAACTACCCTGTGAGGCAGGTACTGTTACCCTCAGTTTGGTAGATGAGAAAGGTGAGACTCAGAGAGGTGAAGTGACTTACCCAAAGTCACACAGCTAGTAGGTGGCAAAGCCGCTCCAGGACCCTCTGGCCCTTAATCCCAGGCCCTTTCCACTGCTCCCCATGCCAGGTAGGCATCTAATCCAACTTTCCTACCAAAGCAAGAACTGCCACAATGGCTTCCAGCAAGTCATACAGCCTTCACTTACAGGACCGTCACCCTCTGAGGCAGCCCCTTCATTCACTGAGCAGCAGCTCTGATGACCATAAATGTCTTCCTTCTATTGAGATAAGAACTGCTTCTGGGTCTGGCTATGCCCTCCAGAAGCACATGAAGTAATTCTGTCTGTTGTGGGCATCTCTCTGGGATTCAAGATGGCTCCCCAGGCAGAAAGGTGTCTCTCAGTCTTCTCTCTGTTAAAGGCCCCATACTTTCAGCCATACTTCCCATGACAGTGTGACTAGACACCCCCCACCCACCCAGGCAACCCCCTTCCCTGTAAGAGCTTCTGCTTACTTCTTCCCCTGGGACTTGAAACACCCAGCCAGCACAGAGACACAGTGACCACTGTCTCTCTCTTGCTCTGGATTCTACTCTCTTATTAAAGCAGCCTAAGAGTCCCTCTGCCTGATAGGCTCACACAGAGCTTGCAGCACAACAAATCTTCCCTGGAGTTTGTCACATGAGCCACTGTGGCAGATACTACTGGATACCTGATCAAAAATCATCTGTGCGCCCTTCTGCCTTGATGGCAGAG